TTAGTCCCAAACTAGATAAAAAATAACCAGCGGCAATTTTCGCTAGAAGTTGCCAGGGGAAAAACGTTTTCTATTGCGGAGGCCTACATGAACTCCAAAATCTGGAAAGTTTAAGGTCAATCAGTATGGATTTTTTAAGTAATGAAAAAGTGATCGCCGGTCACACAGGAACTAGCTTGCTTCTGAGACCTGGTTGAAGTTCAGTGATACGCATTGATTCTCACGTATTATGCACTACAAACGATCCCAAGTTCAAGGTTTATTCCACATCTATGTTGTATGCACCGGATAATATTAGAGACCAAATGACTAACTCTACGGTTCCAATACCCCCACACGACAGACCGGCTACATATACGTGCAATAAGTTGCCCACGAAAGGTCGGCACTATTTCAAATAAGGCTAATCCAAGCTTGATACTCTAAAAGGATGAGATGAGTCAAACAGTCCGTGCCAATGCAATCAGTGAGGAGACTCAACCAATACCGAAGAGCGGAGCCATAATAAGAATGTCAATTAGGTTTTATGCATCGAAAGATTTCGACCCAGTATGAGAAAAATCAACTACCTAATCATTGAGAAAAATGACACGACCGAATGGAGCAGTTAAACGCACATTGCTAACACCATTCCTACTGTATTGGTGTGTGGGTGAAATGGGTCACAACGTATGCAACATGCGATAATGAATACGCTTTGCCACGATAAAGAAACGAAGATAAAATGCTTTATCAGACCGAATTTGGTGACAAAACGGACGTGGACAGAGCTGGTGACGTGGATGACAAACGTCAAAAAATTGAAGTGAAAACGTCCAGCCTATGGTCCACGGGGGAATTTCTAACTCCGTGACGTCAAAATCTGATTGTACAGTCGTGAATGAAAACTGGTTCTGAATTCCGCTAGTGAAAAAACCTTTCATTAAACCGTTAAAATTAAAAAAGAAATATCGAACAGCAAGAATGAATATTCAAATGAAGTGCGATTAAACGATTATTTGATTAAAAGTAGAATACCTCAGAAGAGTATGTGATAATTTCACTTTTTAGGTGTACGTGGAAAAATACTAAGTTGAACGATGCTATCTTACAAGTTAATAGGGAAACGCGGTGAGGAATCCATATGTGACTGGGACTCGAGAGCAGCAAATGAATGAATGTTCATCGAGAGTGAGTGT